AGAGAGCATAGCAACCACCCTGGGAGGGCCTATGGGCCATAACAACCAGTTGACCAATCAACACAGGGCAAACCCTCCAAGCCTGGAGGCACGCCAATCCTGAGCCTGTTCATACCCCTAGACACTCCCCTTACGCTGCCCTATAAAGATCTGTACGCAGTAGCTTCGAACTGTCTTTGCTAGCTATCTGCCATGGTGGGTGGGTCAAAGACCCGAGCTAACATGGGGTTAGCTCGTTAAACTACAATAAAGTCTCATGCAATTTGCATCAAGCTTTCGCGTCCATTCTGTGTTTGGGGTGGCCGAGGTCCTGGGCTAAGATTCTGGAAGCCTCAGCTTTTCGAGGGTCTTACAGGACCAAATGTTGTATAATATCTAATACTTTTTTTTCCTGATTTCATCTTTAAAATCTATAAATTATGCATATGAGGGAAAAAAAAGAAACCTTCCTCTCTGCTGCCTCTAAAAGCTGGATACCTGAATGGTTAGGTTCAGCACTCACAAGGTTGACAGTGTGAGCTGGGCCATGGCTGGGACCCCATGGATATTGTGCAGTGTGTGATGCGTCAGGTGTGGGGCTGAACCAGTCCTGGTGTACAGAAGACAGCCTGGAATGTCCACTGTGCAGTCGCCTGCTTTGCCCAGGTTTTGTATTTTTCCTAGACGACAGCCATTAACGACTTTGGTGAGACTCAGCTTCATCATTAGGGACTCCTCCAGGTTCTGAGAAGAAAACAGCATTAAATTTAGAAGGCAGTTCATGACATCTAAAGGCTAAGTAAAGAAACGTGCCAAGAAAGAAATGTGCACAACAATGAATGGCTGTATGTCTATACCTCCAGTTCACATCTTCCTTGGGGATCAGGATGAGGACAAGGAAAAAAAAAGCAAAAACCAAGATTCTTCCTCCAAAGTTCCAGAGCAAAATGATAACACCAATCACTCTGAAATGTAGTGTGCTGTATGTGTGTCTGTATGTGCGTGTTTGCACGTGTGCATGCTTTTGTAGATGCTGATAAAAAAAATGAATGAAAGGACTGGAATAGGTTAATTGTCAGAGAATGGCACACGAGGTGACTCAGCCTTGGAAACATACAGGGGAGGGTCATACCATTTATGGCATGTTACTAATTTGAACTACATTTCTTTCTCCAACTTGAGAGAATAGTAAGCAATATTGTTTTTTTTCCTCCTAATAGTGCTGTGCAATAAAGAAAAGATTCCAAAACAGTACAATGAATATACATCAAAGACTGCACAGATAACAGATTATCTGCAAGGTAGGATCATAATCTAGTTTATTCACACATGAGTGTATAAATGATCTATGAGTGATTTCATAATGGGAAAGGTAAAACTTTTCTTAAGAAAAAAAATACAGATATTCTTTCTAACTTCTATAGATACACCAAGATGGTTTGGAAAAAACAAACAAACAAACAAACCAGAAAACATTATTTGTAGGATGTTGCTAAACAATTAGAACTTAGTGTGAAAAATTATGAGTTTTAAGATGCACACTACAGAGTTTGATAACCCAGTAAGGTTGACCATTTATAAAATGTCATTGGAGGGCTAGAGAGATGGCTCAGTGGGTAAAGGTGCTTGCTACCAAGTTTGCCAACCTCGGTTTGATCTCCCTTGGAAAGGGGGTAAAAAAAAGAACCGACTCTGCAGAGTTGTCCTTTAACCACATATATGTGTCATAGCACCTACACACATATAAGCACACACTTTTTAAATTTAAATGTCACTGGTCATATCAACTAATATAGTATTTTACAAATACCATATTACATCACTACAGCAAGGACTCTTGGGAACTCTTGCCAATTGGACCAAGCCAAACTTTCATGTGCATGTGATTGCATGGGTGCTCACTCCCAAGAATGCATATATGCAGAAGCCAGCAAGTAACCCCAACTCCCCAGGATTCACCTGTTTTAGCACCCAATGGTGACTTACAGGTGCATAACAGCCACACTAGGCATTTACATGGGTGCTGGGGATCCAAACCCAGGTCCTCATGCTTGCAGGGCAAGCACTTTACACACTGATTCAGTCCCTCAGCCCCTCCCAAGTTTTACTAGTAAATGATTTACTATAGTTATGTGATAAAAATGCAACTGGAGAGCCTATGTTCTAAAGCATCACTTTCAAAGACAATCACTGTTTATTACAACCCAACAGAGTTGGACAAACCCATACCAGGTTGAGATGCACAATTTAAAACATTAGCCCTTTGAAGACATCAGTCACCAGTTCTTAGATGCAGAGATTGGCTTTTGTATGATACAGTTCTTTAGTTGGGATGGTTAATCCCCATAATTTAAAAGACCAAATTCAAACCCTCAGCTTAGCTATGGAATCCTCTCCTTGAGCAAGAGGGGGATGCTCATACTATAAGATTTTGAGGCCTTACCTCTCCCTGGAGTAGATGGGAGGAGGGCAGAGTGGGAGAGGGAGTGGGAGCAAAGGAGGGAGAGGGAACTGGGATTGGAATGTAAAAAATAAATTAATAAAAAAAAATAGATGCCTCCCAATTTTTTTTAATGCTGTGTATCTTTTCTGCTGCTTTGGGCTTCTTAAGTTTCATCCAAGTTATGGTAATTCAAAGTGTTAAAGGACATACTTACAAAAAAAAGGAAAAAAAGGAAGATGATTTCCAAAAAGGGAACTGAATATTATCAGTGATTCTGTTTCGTGATGATGGAGTGAATATTGATAAACCTACAGACAAACTAGTTATGGTGGTGACTACCATTAATCCCAGATGCAGGCTGATGCAGGGGGATACTGATTCAATGGCTAACCTGAGGTCCACAGTGAGAGCTTGTCTCAAGAAATGAAAATGAAAAAAGGACAGTACACACACACACACACACACACACACACACACACACACACACACACCACACACCACACACACACACACACACACACACACAGAATATACTACAGTTCAGTGTGGAGATCAGGGCACAGCTTGAAGAATTCAGTTCCTCCTCCTACCATGTAGGGCCTCAGGAACCAAACTCAGGTCATAAGGTTTTGTGACCAGCACCTTTACCTTTTGAACCATCTTACTGGCCCTAGAAAATGCACCTTAGCTGGAAATCAACATTCAAAAACATAAATAGAATTTTTTTCAGAGCTAGAACCAATACTTCCTATCCTCATTCATTGTCCAATGTCAGATATGTTTTTCTGGTTGTAACATTTTTATATAGCGTCTTTATTATGAATTAATGTATACAATATAGACATAAATGTATACTGACATATATGGGTTTTGTCTTTCTTTCTTTCTTTCTTTCTTTCTTTCTTTCTTTCTTTCTTTCTTTTTTTAAGTAATGCACCAATGACCGGGCTATGGCAGCCGCTGAGAAGAAACAGCTCCCATGCATAAATCACAGGATTTCTCTGGCCCACTGAATCCACTAGAAAGCTGTACCTACACAACAGCCTCCAGCAACCACAGGGCGTAGTTTTTAAAACATAATTTGGGAGTGACATAATCACTAACCCAAGCAAAATTCAAGATGCAGACCAATGTCTCCAAGACATCAAATGGTTTTATTTGCTGTTGTCACCATCCCCTCCCTTTTCACTTATTGTGAGTCTCTTTTATCACCGGTTTTGTCTTTTGCATTTCACTTCCACAAAGCTTTTGGAGGTCTTAAGAAGGGACCCTGCAGGTGCAGGGAAAACTGACAGACAGGCTGTAAGCAAATCTGTGCATTTCTGACAACACCCTGCCCCTAGCACTGCTAATGCCACTCTGCCCTTGTCTGTCAGGAGAGAAAGAATTTTTCAATGCTTCTTGAATGGATTGTCTTTATGGAAAGATGGCCCAAATCTGATAACCGAATGCAGCAAGCTTAGATAATCACTGGGTGGGGGGGGGGGGTTTACAAATATTTGTAAATAAACATCCATATCTTCTCCATCTTCTTCATATAGAGTCAACATTTGTATATGTACAGAAACAAACTATAAAGGACTTCTGAACAATATGATGCACTGAGCCAACTCAAAAATGATGGATGCTATAATATTCTAAATATTTAAAAATTTTTATGCTATTTGGAAGGGGGAGAGAAATACACTAACTAGAAATACACTAACTTTACTAGGTGCAGTGCTGAAAGTTTGGAAACAGTCATCAAGGAAATGAATAATAGAATATACAATATATAAACATGTTCGAAAGGAATAAAGGAATTTAAAGAAATTTCAATTATCCCATGAAAGTTATTAAAAAAAAAAAAGGAAGAAAGAAAACAAAAAAAAGCACATCAAAAATAGAAAATACAGGACTGCTGCATCAGCTCAGTGGTTAAGAGCATTTGCTATTTGTGCAGAGGACCCAGGTCTGATCCCCAGCACCCAAATGGCCACTCACTCTGTAACTGCAGTTCCAAAAGATCAGGTTTCCTTTCTCATTTGAGGGTGCCATGCATGCTTGTGATGCACATACATACATGCAGGCAAAAATAGTCACACACACAGAACATAAAAGGAAATCTTAAAAAAAGAAAAGGCAAAATATCTAGCAGAGTGGTGACTCATATGTTTAATCCTAGCACCTGAGAAACAGAGAGGCAGGCAAACCTCTGAGCTTCAGGCCAGAAAGGAATACATAATGAGACACTGTCTCAAAAACAGGAAAAAAAAAATGCAAATGATGATTGAGAAATCTAAATGCTATTGATCACAATAAAGCTAGACTAATCTCATCCATTGAAAGGCCTAACAATTGCAGTAGTTACATTTATTGGGTATTTACTGTTGGGCTTTATACATTTACCCTTGTGCCAAATACAACATAGATTCTATTCTCTCCTGCCTTTTAGAAATTAGTGAAGTGAAGCTGATGAAGTCACTGTTGTGGTTTGACTTTGACTAAGAATGGCCCCATAGGCTCATATATTTGAATGCTTAGTCACCAGAGTGTAGCACTATTTCAAAGAATTAAGAAAGATTAAGAGGTGTGGTCTTGTTGGAGGAAGTGTGTCACTGGGTGTAGTGGACTTTGAGGTTTCCAAAGCCCGTGCCAATCCCTCTCTCTGCCTACAGATCAGGATATAGTTCTCAGCTACTGCTCCAGTGTCTGCCTGCTTGCCAACATGCTTCCTGCTATGATGCTAATGGTCTAAAACTGAAACTGTAGGCAAGGCCCCAATTCAATGCTTTCTTTGGTTATGGTCTCTTCACAACAATAGGACAGTGACTAAGACAGTCACCAGTAGTAACTGGGAGAGCTGGTCCTGAAATTACAGAAGTCTAGGTTTTGAGACTATAATATAGGCTGGTGGCTTAGGGAAAATGGAAATTTCTCAAACAACCCATGAAATGGTTCCATATTAACTGTGATATTTCCCATTTTGCTACAGTGTATTGTTTTTTTCCTATTTCCTTCCTCTGTCTCTAATCCATCTTTCCAGCCTCTAGAGCAATGCTTCTCAACCTATGGGATATGACCCCTTGGGGGGAGGTAAAATAACCTTTTCACAGAGGTCACCTAAGACCATCAGAAAACACAGATTATTTACATTACAACTCATAGCATTAGCAAAATTAGTTATGAAGTAGCAAAGAAAATAATCTGAGAGTTGGGGTCACCACAAAGGGTCTCAGCATTAAGAAGGTTGAGAACTCTGCTCTATAGCCTTTCTAAAAAGACACAAACTGTATTATGTTCACTTTGTGGGGCCCAGAACAGCTTAGGCACTGCTGTTATGGCAGGCTTAATGAAAACCAGCTAAAAAGTAGGCCTGAGTTTCAGTTTACTGGCAGGCATCACCGGGTTGAGGTCAACACCACCCAGGGAGGACCGGCATCTAAGGGGGAGTACCTGACACTCCAAGTATCCCAACCATAAGATAAGATGAGGTTAGATTAATATTAGATTAGATAAGACCATTAGATGCCCTAGAGCCCAGTGTAGCACCTATTCCCCTTTCACCAAGACACCCTTAGACAAATGTCAGTCAATCAGAGTCTTAAACCCCCAAAATCCACTCACCCACAAACTCTACTATAATAATAAAAACAAAAAACAAAAAAACCTACCCTGCCCAGGCTGGGCACTCTCTGGTCTCAACTGCTGCATCAGATAGGCAGAGAGTTCAAGCTCGGGCTTGAATAAAGGCTGTTTGCTTTTGCATACGGATTCGGTCTCCTTAGTGGTCTTTGGGGGTTCCCTGAGATCTGGGTATGTTAGTATTCAGGTATCTGTACTGGCCTGTCCTTGGGTTCTGACAGGACACACTCTCAGCTTCAGGCTCTAAGAGCACCACTTGTGCATATTCACTATGTTCCCTTAAAAAAGGACCCTGCCTACCCGCCCCCCAGCCGTTCTCTCTCCTGCTGCTCCCATCCCCTGGAGGCCAGGATACCCAACCCCCCTTCCCTAATACAAAACCCCTCTGCTTGAACCCTGTCGTATGGGGTCTTTCTCTCGAGCACTGCTTTTCTTAAATTACAACAGGGCATAAAACACTTCTCTGAACTCTGCTTTTCTCTCAGAAAAAAAATAGGCACCTCTCCCAAAGAACAGACATGAAACTAACTCTTCCAAATGAACTACTGTTGTGACAGCGTAAGGTCTGAATGTAAGACAACCTGTTCAACCATCCTCTTTCTGGTTCACACTCAAGTTAGACAGCAGGTGCTAGGACAAATAGGGGTACAATGTTCCTTATCGTATTCCCACCAATTTAAAGTTTGGTTTACAATTCCTGGCAGAATGTTTTACATACATTGATTTTCAATCATGATAATACTCCCAGGGTGTAGGTACATATAGTCCCATTTTGTCAATAGTACACTCAATTGCCAGCAAGTAGCTGGGTCCAAACCAGTTCTTAATTTCTGCCCCTCCTTGAAAGAATACATCTTCAATGGAGTGTTCTTCACAACATCCAGGCTTAGCTATTCAGGTTAAATTTTCCTTTAGTCTCGTTAGGCATCCCTGGAGCTGTAAAGCTTACTATTTTTATACCTTACCAAGTACCTGGTAAACTCAACTTCCGGCTGAGCAGCTCACCACCGGGCAGAGGCCGGAAGAAAGGAAGTCAAGTCCTTTTCTCTCTCAGATGTATGTGTCCGGCAATATTACTGGGGAGACTGAGCCTAGACCAACAGGAAACCAGGAAATGTCAAGGTGGGAGTAAGACGGAAATGCAATCAAGACAGTGGGCGCGACTCACCCGCCCTCATCAAGGAAAAGAGATACTCACCCGTAGATTACAACTCTCGGTACCGCCAGGACCCTTAAACTCCTTGCAGGAGGTAACACGTGTTCGGCTCGCAGAACTCGCGGCCCACTGAACCACCGCCTCCGCTGCAGAGCCAATCAGGAAGTTCTGCGTCATCGCCAAGCGCCGGACTTAGGCAAAGGCCCTGCTAAAGCAACCCAGCGAGACCCACCGATGCCATGGTAACTGGGCAATGAGAGCTTCCCGCGCGATGCCTCCTGGGAGGAGTAGTTCCGGAATGTCCGATCCCTGTCTAACTGGTAGGTGGTGGAACTACAACTCCCAGCACCACTCGAATACAGCCTGAGAGGAGGAGCGATTGTCACTGTTGTGGACAAAGTCTCGGTCTGAGCTTGAAAAAATGCTGCTGGCATCCCGGGAAAGGTCCTCAAAGAAGGGAATGGAGCCGAGTCGCTGGAAACGGTTCTCCAGGAAGCTGAATCCCAAGGTGATCCCAATCGGAAGCTTTGAGGAATATGGACTGGCCCTAGGCGTCACACAGTCCTGAAGCCAGTCTCTTCCCGCCCTGCGCTTCCTCACTCTTCCCCCGGGGGCATCCTTACCTGGCCTTGACTGCCCTCGAGCCAACACAGCCCGGAGAGGTGTGGTTCTAGGAGCCTAAGGGTCTGTGTACTGTGGTGGGCAGCAACCTGTAAGATCCGCTAAGTGCCCATTAGGGTAAGGGAACTTTGCCCCAAATCCTTACGTCTGACACCAATTTTAAGAAACTTTCCTTACATTTCTTCCCCTCCCTTTCAAATCTTGGGTAAGGGACCTTTGAAAGGAAGAAAAAAAAATCGCATTAAATTCTCTCCTGTTATCCCTTATATCCCCCGTTTCCAGTTTTATATCAGATATCTAAAATGAACCCAGAAGTCCAAATGGTTGCATCTCAATACTTTATCCATATGGTTATTTCTGAATTCCACCAGCTTTCAAAGAGATCCTTTATCCATTACCTCTTGTGTGCACTAGCTCCTAAAGGCATGGGAAAAAAAAAAAAAAAGGAAAGAAAAGAAAGAAAGAAAACCCGACAATGCCTTTTTTAACTCGTGACATACAAAAGTGACCTGTGCAAAGTCACAGTCATACCAAGTGTGCCTTCCAGAATACCTCTCTAACAGACACAAAAATAAATGCTGCAAATGTAAATGAGAGTATTGAAATGGAGGGGATTCAACGTTCAGCTGCAGAGCAGTTTCACCAGCTGTTTTCACACCTCCCCCCGCCCCCCCCCCGTTATACTTTAAACTGGAAAACAATCCTCTAGATGTGTGGCTTTTGTGGGAGCCCCCGGCAATCATTCCTGTGGGGTTCTTCTAAATATAGGAACTATGTACACAGGGCACATTCCACTTAGTGGAAATTATGCTCCTGATACTAGAGGGCATAGGCCAGCGCATTAGAGAGTGGAAACTGAGGTTGCTCCAACTGCAAAGTATCGGTTGCATAATAGATGGGGCCCAAAATAGCTTATGAATATAGATTTGATGATGAAAGGTAAAAAATTTGGGACAACTTAGAACTACAAAAAAAAGGGGGGGTTGGTTTTTTTTTCTTTCTTGCTGATAATGCTCATTGTTACTGTCTAGAGGATAAAGAAAGTAAAGACACAAGAGCGCCTTGAAATTCCACTGTGTTTGAATAGGATCAGCTCTTTCTTTATTGCACTGACAAAGTTATTCAGCAGAACAGCTGCGTTAATTGGGTGTAAGGTGAGCTGAAGGTGAAGTGGTAGGGAATCGAGGGAGAAGATTATGCCTTTCCCAACAACTTCCATGTGCCAGTTAGTTTGCTGGCCCATCATTTTTATTTTTAAACACCTGATTTTTTTTCCCAGAGCAAATACCCCTGAATGCTCAGTAGTTATTAGAGAGAGTTCTTCAAGCTTCTGGGAGCCACAGAGAATAGAGCGGAGACCCCCTGAGGTCTGATTTCTTCTTTCAGATTCATGTCTCACCTGGGTAGAGATGCTGGGGAGGTGTCAAACGACTTTAATCCCAGCACTCGGGAGGCAGATGCAGGTAGATCTCTGTGAGTTCGAGGCCAGCCTCGTCTATGAAGAGAGTTCCAGAACAGCCAGAGTTCTTAAATAGAGAAATCCTATCTTGAAAAAAAAAATCAAAAAAGAAAAAAAAAAGCAAAATCATTTGGATAGAGATTAATTTTCTTCATCATGTGCTTGGTGCAACAGTAGAAGTTGAGTAATAGAATTCTGTTCTGCACCCCCACTCCTGTTGGACCACACATCATCTTGGGTGCAGGAAGGCACCTGGCTACTTGTGCAAATAGGAAAGAAAGGACCATAACAGTCTTTAAGCAGAAAATTACAGAGAGAGGTGAATTAAACCAGTATTAGTATGGAGTTTCACATCTAGTATTTCTGTACCTTGACTCTTAGCCCTGGAGAATTTAAGAAAAAATGCTGACGCCTAGACTGCTGATTAGTTCCATTACAGTCTCAAGGCAGGTTAGACAAGAAGTAATAAGGATGTCCCAGACAGGGCTTCCGGCTCCTCCTCCTGTGGTTTAGTGTGCTTTCATTGCGTTGGTGCTGAACTTGCATGTGAACTTTCCATATGCATTAGTGGGAAGGATAGCTTGAAAAACGTTTGTCTTGCACTAATACTTTGTATCTATTTTCTACAGTCTGCATTTGACCCTGACAGTGTGGGGCACTGGATTAAGGTAAGGCATTTCAAAATCAGGATGGAAAGAGATTTGAGTCACACATAATGGCAGATCTCCCAAGTGTATACGCATGACTGTTGGTATTCCCATGTGATTATGTATGTTACCTCAATTTTATACTTTTTAAAAAAGACTTACTATGTATAAAATGTTCTGTCTGCATGTGTGCCTGCAGGGCAGAAGAGGGCGCTAGATCGAATTACAGATGGTTGTGAGCCACCATGTGATGGCTAGGAATTGAACTCAGGACCTCTGGAAGAGCAGTCAGTGCTCTTAAGCGCTGAGCCATCTCTCCAGGCCCCCCACCCCGATTTTATACTTTTTAACATCTTTTATTATTCTCTTGGTTTTCATGAGAGAGCTTAAGCATAAATGATGAGCAAACATGTGGATAGGTATGTTTTCATCTGGCATGGGTATCACATGAAGAGGCCAAAGGAGTAAGAATAGAGAGGTATTGGGAGAGATTGCTGTAGCCTTCCTTCTTCAGACACAAGGAAGACTAATTTTTTTTACTTTTTTTTTATTTGAATTAGAAACAAGATTGTTTTACATGACAATCCCAGTTCCCTTCTCACTCTCCTCTTCCCCTACCACCCTCCCCCCCCCCAACTAAAACCCTACCTATCACATATCCTTTCTGCTCCTCCTGGATGCTGAGGCCTTCCATAGGGTGTCATCAACGTCTATCATATCCTTTAGGATAGGGTCTAGGCCCATCCCCGTGTGTCTTGGCTCAGGGAGTATCCCTCTATGTGGAATGGTCTCCCAAAGTCCACACCTATGCTAGGGATAAGTACTGAACTACTCCAGGAGGTCCCCTAGATTTCTGAGGTTTCCTCACTGAAACCCATGGAAGACTATTCTGTAGTTACTTCAATATGGGACCCATTGGAAAAGCTACATGGGTGTCACCAGAATTCTCTGTCTAGAACAATCCAAAAATGGAGTGAGAGTTTTCACAAAGAGGCAAGTTTTTCATCACTGGGTGTATTGGAGTAAACTCTAAAATTTCACTTAATGTTCAACTAATAAAGAGTATGTTTGAACATCCATTGAGAGGGAGTTGGGGTAGATAACCCCTACAGAAGCTGTTGTTTAAATGACTTCCTGACCGTTGATACCTTCCAGTCATGAAATGTTTATTGTTTGATTTAGGTACCATTTGAATTCAAAGTGCCTTTAAAACACTTCTGGGGTGTACTTCTGAGTGTCAACTTAGCAATTTGTTGTAACTAGTTTATTTGTGTAGCACATAGTTCAAAATCATGTAGTATTTTCCTGAGAGAATATTCTATCTGATAGTATTTTGAACAAATGTTATCTAAGTTGACAGGATTGTGGGCATTGTGGGCACCAGGCCAGCTAGTTCCCAGGCTAGCTGTAGTATTTTCTTTAACTATTTATTCATTTTGCTATTATTTGTTAAGTGCCTACCAAATGCAAGCTCTGTATGTTGAGTACCAGAGCTAAAGTGAGACCCGGGCCAGAGTTTATAGCTCAGTGGAGCATAAATAACCTCCTTTAAGCTGATGAGAGAATTAAAGATATAAGGGAAGCATTTGTTGGGAGGCATCAAAGTAGATGGGACTAGAGAAGACTCCCTGGCCACTTAAGAAGCCCTATCTCAAAAGAAGGCTAAAATGATCACACCATGAATGCCAGCCCCTGGACGACCACTCAACCTCTAGTAAACCTAGCTTGCACATCAGTGTCCAGAGTCCCAGTACCTATTTCCTGCAGGGCTTAATCGCACACCTACTTACCACTTCTTTCAGGAACTCAAGGATAAAATTCTACTTTGTCTTGTCTCTGTGACTTTCCTTCATACAGCTATCAGCAAGCTGGACTCAGATTTTTATCATTCCTCTAAATCTTCTGCACTGGCTTTTTCTCCATCCCGCCTTCAAATCTCCCATCTTAAAAAAAAAAATCAATAAGTTCTCATATGACCCTGCAGTCTTTTCTGATTATGGAATGATTTTATTTTCTTATCTAATATCTACCAATATGTATAGTATGGACTCTTGGCTTTCATACTTCATTATTCTCTCTTGTCATGATTATTATTGCTTAGTTTCTGTTTCTTGTTCAGTCAACTAAACTACCACACACACAAACACACACACCAGAACACACACACACAAACACACACACACACACACACACACACACACACACACACACACACACAATCCATTCATTTCACTTTCCATTCCACAGGAACTGTTACTAGAAATGGCTTCCTGACCAAATCCAGTCATCTTTTGATAGCCATCAAACATCTCCAGTTTAATTTGATAGCTTTGATGTCTGTATTTTCGACACCCTCTACTCCATTATCTTTGTCCATTGGACTGTTTTCTCTTGCTTCTCCTTTTACCTCTCTGTTCTCTGCCTTTTTTTTTCTTTCTAGTTTTATTCCATAAAATATCACAACTCTAGGTATACCCTGAATAGTTGCAGTCTTTCCTCCTAAAACTTCCAAATCCACTTGAGTGGTCCACCCTTTCCAAAACAACTGAGAATATGTTCAGGGGAAGGATGGTAAAAGTAGATAAGGGCCTCTCTTTATAAGAGAAAAGGAAGGTTGCCTGGTTACATCATGGATTTACCTGAAGTAGGTAACCATAATTTTTTTATGGTACAAAGAAAACTGGTGTATTAAATGTATCCAAGCTTGGGGATTATCCTGCAAAAGTGAAGGGACATGGACTTGGGAATAAGACAGTAGCTGAAGCTGAAGATCCACATGAGTAGGAAGGAAGAGAAGGTGCTCTTTCAAGGTCTTATAGATATGGAGGAGAGAATGGCTAGCAATGACTAAAAGACTTGATTGGGTCCATTTCAGTGTTGTGGGGTAAGAGGAATGAAACATGGAAACGGGATGATGATGGTGGAGAGGTGGTTAAGAACGTTTGGTTCAAGTAATGAAACATCCTGTACAACATGGTTTAGGTTAAGTGGGCTGCTAAAGTAGAATTGTGTGGAATACTGTAGTAAAACAGGAAATCCAGCAAACCCTGATGCGCATCCACAAAGGAGGAGAAATCACTTAGAATCAGGCAGGTGCTTGGCTAGCACTAAATTCAGTACTCTGTGATTTATAATTTATCTTTATATATCAAAATATTCTCTAACTTGTATGAGGATGGAGGGCAGGAATGAGAGAGAAAGAAAAAGGAAGAGAGAGAGAGATGGAGGGGGAGGACAGAGAGTCTGATTTTAGGTTAAGGATGACTCCAAAGTTTTCACCTGAAGAACTGAATCATGAGTTGTCATTTGTCAGTGCCAGTCTGAAGAGTGAGCACTCAGTAAGAACCAGGGAATGCAGGTTTGTGGGGACACAGATGCAGGGGTTCACCTATGAAGTAGAATGTTCCCTACTCTGTCCAAAGTCCAAGATACTTTGCTCAACTCCGTCATTCCCTTCCCCAGTCCTATGAATTTGGCCATGTTTTTATTAAACTCTTGTTGATTTAAAACAGACTAAATGATTAAAGTGGTGGCTGTCTATCTCAATTTTATTGAACCTGTGGTTTGCCTAATACACACTGGTGGTCCCTTTTAGCTATAGTAATTTGAGAACTTGGCCTGTGCTTCCTGTTTACTTACAAGTCCTAGTATCACAGAAATTGATATCAGATGTTTGTTCAGAATAAAGTATTCAGGATTCAGGACCCATTGCTAATGCCCTAAACAAAAGTTACCCAAAGGAGAACAAAAGAGGTAGTAGGAATGTGATCAAAATATATTACATATGTTTAAATGTGTCATAATGAAACCACTATTTTGGACAATTAATACATGCTAATAAAAATAAATATTCATTTTATCGTGTGTGTGTGTGTGTGTGTGTGTGTGTGTGTGTGTGTATGTGTGTGTGTGTCTGTCTGTGTCTGTGTCTGTGTCTGTGTCTGTGTGTCTGTGTGTAGACAGATGTACATGTATGTGTGTACATATACACATGCTATGGCACACGTGTGGAGGTCAGTTCTCTCCTGCCACCTTGTGGGGCTTGGGGAAGAAGCTCAGGTTGTTAGGCCAACACCTCTCATCAATCATGTTTTCCACTTACTTAAGCCTAAACAACATTCTTAGAAACACCAGGAATGCCCGTTAGAACTTGGTGAACTGCTCAATTAATTCAACATTACATAAAAAACTAAAATATTGCCTAGAGTTCCAATAAAAATGGGCAAATTAAAGAATTGTACTAGCTGTTAGAAAAGCAGCTTCTGGGATTCTCTAACCCTGAATGAGGTTACTATCATCTGATGGATTTCTTCTGTTTTTTTTTTTTTCCTCTTATTTTGAAGAGTGTGGAGAAAGCTTCGGAATTTGCCATTTCAAATACATATTCTACCAGAAATGAAGATTTACCTGGAAGGCTCTGGCGACACGCGGTAGATCTGGGAACCTGTGAGCAAACAGAGTATCATGATGATGTCTATGAAGAAGGTGAGAGGATGCATTTGCTCATGTGATGTTAGCAGTTCTTAAAGCATAGTCCAGCATTCACTGCAAAGCACTGAATGAAAACTACTCTTCCCCTCACTCTTAACCTTTGCTTCTCCACTGTCCTGAAGCTGCTTATTCTGGAGCTAACTCCATCACTACATGTAAGGCCATCTGTAAATGGGTGTGTGTGTGTGTGTGTGTGTGTGTGTGTGTGTGTGTGTCTTCATACTGGTGTCTGCATGTTTATGAAGATGCCAGAGGAAGCCAGAGGTATCAGGTTCCCTGCAGCTAGAGACACAGGTGGTTGTGAGCCACATGGTGTGGGTGCTAGGAACTAAACTTGGGTTCCTTGCAAGAGCAATCTACACTTTTAACTCTGAGCCATCTCCAAGCCCCACAAGGCTGTATTTAAAGCCCACTTTGTTTCCTAAATTTGAAGCAGCCACTGACAGAAGCAATTTGATAGAATAGTTAACTGGTGAGTAGTGTAAGGTCCTGGTCCTATGGCACAGATGGCGGCATGTTAATTTGATCTGTAAGAGGCTCCAAAACCATTTGAACCTCCTTGTCTCCTCAAAGTTCCCTACATTTGGAATTCACCATCTTGATTACTGAGTGCCTGAAGAACTGTACCACCTAGGATTCAAGGGATTGGGTGGAACCTGCAAAGGAGACTGGGAAGGAGATTCTCCAGGGGAGGGGGAAGACAGAGTACTATGCCCTGCAAGCCCGCCTCTGTCTGGATTGTTTATTTCATGTGTCTCTTCATTTATCCTATGCATGCGTATTAAGGTCTTGCCCCACTGTATTAGACACTATAAGTTTTGACTCTGAACAAGGAAAGCAAAGCTGCGCTTCCATGGAGTAAGCACTCTAGTGTGGGAATGAAGAGAATTAAAAGCAAATTATCAGGTAGTGGACTATGCAAAGCATTCCAGATAGAAGGCAAGGTGGTGTCAAGAACTTAAAGTACAGACAAGCATGGTGTACATGAGGAGCTAAAAGAAAACCCTTGAGGCCGGTGCTTCGGTAGACACGAGCATGAAGGAGTGAGCAGGAGACACATCACATAAAATGACACGGATTTTATTCTGGTCATAATAGGATGGGAATGAAGTATAAGGGGCCCTCGATTTAAATATAGAAAGAATGTAATGTTGGGGGTGGGGCGTGAGGGAAAGTAAGCAGTGGGAAGCTGCTGGAGGGTTAGGTAAGAAGTGATAATGGTTCATCTCAGGGTTAGTAGTTCATTCACAGTGTATGTTAAGAGCCCTCAGAAACCCAACATCTGGAAGAAATGTTGTCTTAACTCCATTTGTGGACTCTTGTGGTGGGGAGAGGTATTTTATCCCCACAACACCTAACGTCCTGAGAAACTACTAGTCCACACCTGCCTGTGTTGTTGTATGGGCAGAGCATGCTTTACAAAGATCTGTTTTTGTTCCCTTCTCATCAGCTCCACTAATATTCTACCATAACTAGTGCCGTGGAGAGCATGCCATGAAAAGCTCTGCTTTTCTGCTTACTCTCCCCATGCAGCATGAGGAGCTGTATAGTGTAACTTCAAAGGAAGTGCTCTTTCTTGTTCTTTTAGTACTTCCTAGTAAGCCCTTACTGTGAGTGGCATTTGTTAGACCCGGATTGTTTTACATACAAATTATACACATAAAGGCGCAACTTGTTGTACATAGGTTAATGATTGTCACCTCCCTTTCTCTGGCCTGTTTTAGCTTATTTGTTATACTTAGTTTCTACTGTAGTCCTCCTGAGGTGCCTTCCAGGACCCCTAGTGGATGCCTGAAACTGTAGACAGTGCCAAGCCCTACAATATTATCCATATACTTACATACTCATGACAAAATTGACTTCATAAATTAATCACAGTCAGAGATTGATAATAAAATAATAAAACCAAATAATTATATAAGTACTCTAACTTATGTGACTGTCATCTCTCTTAAAGTGTCTTACTATACTGCATTTGCCATTATTCTTGTGATGATATGTGATGACATGGTACCTGAGTGACGTGACAAAGTGAGGTGAATGACAAAGCATGGAGACAGCATTGGGCTATTACCTGAGGGTTCCTTGAACACTGTCACTACATTATCGTGGCAGGCAATCAGTCTAATAAATGAGATGACAACTAATCTATTAACTAACAGCAGATAGTGTCACTTGTATAAATGTGCTGGACAAAGGAATGACTCATATCCCAGGTGGAGTGGCATAAGACAGAGCATGATTTTATTATGCTATTTAAACTGAGTGCCATTCAGAACTTAGAAATTATTTCTGGAATTTTCTGTGTGATGTTTTTGGACTTCAGTTGACTTAGGTAACTAAAACTGGAAAATGGAACTACAGATAAAGGGCCACTATTACCATTTGGTTTCCGCTGTTTTATCTATACTATTTCTTAACTTCAGGTAATATACAGAAATGCCTAATTACATCACAACTATGAGATAATAGTAAAGTGAATGCTGAAGTAGATGATTCTCTTCTTTGAAATTTCTACGACCTAGATGAAGATAATGCTAACGTAAATAATTTCTTCTATATTGACATGTCATTTTCTTTCATTTATTTGTCGGCTTGTTTATTCTTGCATGAGTTTATTGCACCACATGGCACATGGCTGCCAGCAGAGGCCAGATGAGGATGTCGATCTTCTAGAACTGGAGTTACAGACGGTTGTGAGCTGGCATGTGGGTCCTGAGAACTGACCCAGGTCCTCTGCAACAGCAGCAAGTTCTCTTAACCACTGAGCCATCTCTGCAGCCCCTGAGATTTTCATGATGCCATGGAAATGGAAGTTGGCTTCCAGCACACTACACTCTGACTTTCCTTTCAACTCAGGGATCTCTCCTTGCTATTCAGCTTTCCTGGTTCTGCCTTATCCCTTCAACTCCTAAAAGGTGGATTTCCTCAGGTTTTCAGTTTTTAACTCATCTCTACCTCCTTTCTTCATCTGTTAATGTCATCTGGTTCTAAGGCTTCAGACACACCTGTATGCTGACAATGCTCATCTGGTTCTTCAGTTTGGATCTATCCCATGAAACCCCAAGTATTGCCACCAATATCAACTTGACCTTCCCATTTGGTCATCTCAGGCACATCCAACCTGATATCCCTAAGTCTTCCCCCAGACCTGATGCTTCTCTGTCCTATTCCCTTCTCAGTAAATGCATCTCTATTATTTCAGTTAAGAACTCTGAAGATGCCAGTCAGTAGTGGCACACACCTTTAATCCCAGCACTCGGGAGGCAGAGGCAGGCGGATCTTTGTGAGTTTGATGCCAGCCTGGTCTTCAAAGAGAGTTCCAGGACAGTCTCCAGAGAAACCCTGTCTCGAAAAACAAAAAAAAAAAAAAAAAAAAAAAAAAAAGAAGAAGAAAAAGAAAAAAGAAAAGAAAAAAAAAGAACTCTGAAGATTTCTTTTTCCCCATTCCCTGTTTATCAGCAAATCATGTCAACTTCATCTCAAAATTTTCTAGATTGTAACCATTTTTAGTTGCTCAACTCTGAGATCAAACCATTGTCACCTCCTTACCAGTCTATCATATTCTCCCAGTTAACATCTTCTCTGCTTACCCCATATAGTCTATTTTAACAGAGAAGTCAAAGTGATCCTCTTAAAATATGTTACCTCTTGCCCTGGAGAGATGGCTCAGCAGTTAAGGGCATTGGCTGCTCTTCCAGAGAACCCATGTTCAATTTCTAACACCCACATGGCAGCTGACAACTGTCTGAAATTTCAATTCCAGGATATCTGATGCCCTCTTCTCACCTCTGCAGACATCAGGCACTTACACAGTGCACATGCTGGCCAAACACCCATACATAGAATTTAAAAAAAATAAAAATTAAAGAAAATTTAAAAATCAATAAATTAAAAAACAAAATAAGCCAGACATGGTAGCCCTTAATCCCAGGACTTCTGACATTTGAGGCCAGAGTATTTTTGCTGTGTGGAAGCTATCTTGTGAACAGAGTGTTTAGCAGCATCATAGCTTCGATGTTATCACTTGCCCTTCTTGTAGCAACCAAAAATAACTGTATTTCAAATGAGGGGCAAGACCTCCCTTGTTAATAACCACATTCATTTTCACATATAAAAAAGGCTATTTCTTTTCTAAGGATTTTTCCTTTTCTTCCTTCATACAAATTGTCAGACAAATTAAATAACAGACTTATAAGGGGTCCTTTATTGTACCTTAAGGGTTTGGGGGTTTTTGACCTCAGTCTGACCTATAAGTCACCTCTTCCATTCTCATCTGTCTGTCCCTCATTTCTCCAGCCACACTGCCCTCCTAGTTACTTTTCCAGCCCTCTAGACACTCATGCAGTAGGGCCTTTGACCTTGCTCCCCCCCACATGGTACAGTATTTCCTTATACATTATATGGTGCATTCACTTCCCTCCTTTGCCCCAATATATTCTATTCGACCACCCATTTAAAACTACAACACTTCTTACAGTTTTTAAACACTTAGTCTCCATCTCTTGGTTCCCTGATTTGTTATCTTGTTTATTTGTTTTGTCATTTTCCCTTGATTAGACTGTTAGCTTCAAGGTGGTAACATTTCTCTTTCCAGTTCTGTTCCCTATTATATTCCTAATAAAATAATACTTGTCACATAATGGATGTTCTAGTAAGAATGAATGAATGAATGAATGAATGAATGAAGCAAATAAAGGAAGCCTGTAAGTCCCTGTAATACTAAAAGGTGTCTTTGTTCTACTGATAGCTCAGGAGCTAGTTAATGACTGGTTAGACAACAAACTTCAACAAGAATTAGCAAGTGATGGAGAAGGGGAAAACGCCGTGCTAAGCAGCCCTCCTGTGCCAGATGCCCATGGCCACATGAACTATGACAAGTTTGACGGTAAGAAATTATCTGGTTCTTCTAAGCTTTAACATCTAATGAATGTTTCTAAGAAGTGGTTTTTATTGTTTTAAATAATAAATGATACATTTGGCTTATGTGTGTTTGGGTTATCTTTGTGAGTTTAATTTTCTTGATTGAGTATAAATCTCCTTTGCTATATCCTTATTAGTAAGTTCCTATTGCTTTTTAAAATTAAAGTATTCCATTATTTATAATTTTGCCTATGAATTTATGTAACAATTAAAAGTGTCTCTTGCCCATATATCATTAGATAACTATTTACTTTGACAGAGAACACACTTAAACATTCACATATCATTTTATAATTATAAAATGCTTCTTATGCTTTGATTCATTTTCACATATAAAAAAGGCTATTTCTTTTCTAAGGATTTTTCCTTTTCCTCCTTCATACAAATTGTCAGACAAATTAAATAACAGACTTATAAGGGGTCCTTTATTGTACCTTAAGGGTTTGGGGGTTTTTGATTTTCTTTTTGTTTTCCTCTGAAGATGAGGTAACATAGTTATAGTAGGGCAACTTTCCACACCTGATTCAGACAGCCTGGGTTACAAAAATCCCCAGCTAGGGAATCACAGTCACGAGCTCTGAATGCTAGAAGACTATTTAATATTGCCTAATCTGACTTGTCAGTGTCTATAGTCATTAGGCAAACACACACTAGACCTACAAAGAGTTACTACTCATTATTGTTCAAATGGCTTAAAATTAAATATTGGCTTAAAAATTAAATGCCCAGCCTGATAACAATGTGGAGGAGTTGGGACACTCCCACAGGACTGGTGGGATGTAAAGTTGCATTCCACTTTGGATGGCAGTTTAATAATTTCTTTAAAAGTGTAGTATGTACACATCATAAAATGTTCCCACAGTATAGCCATTCTACAGCTTCTAACGGAAGAAAATGGATAAAAGTCAGGGCTAACACATGGTAGGGTAAGAGCTATACCACTGAGATATATCCTGACAGAAATTGAGGGTTGTTTTTAAGCAAGGATTTTTGAGGTTGTTTACGCTTTAGATCTGGCTGTGAAGAGGTTCTTAGAGACTTGGTGAGGGCCTTTCCTGATGAATGGAGCTTTGCCCTTTTATCTGCAGGTGATTGCTGAGGGCCACACTCCATCCAGTTGGCATTGCCAGTTCCTACTTGTCAAACCATTTCAGCTTTGTATTTTTCAGTATTTCTAATGTAAATATAAAACATTATTTTAAATTCCCTTTTTGTTGTTTTTTACTCTCAGATTTGTGTGGCTATTTGGAGGAAGAAGAGGAGAGTGCCACTGCTCAGAAATTTATAGAGCATCTGCTCCATAAAGAAGTGGTGGGTCCTGAGATGGTGGAAGAGCTTGGAAGGCAGGAAAACCAAGGCAAGAGGCAGCAGAAGGATCCTCGTCTTACCATGGAGATGAGACATAAGCAGGTGGGAGGGAAAACAAAATTAAAATGGATAACAGGAAACAGTCTTTGTGTAACACATTTAATAAGCTTAAATAAAGACTTAGGCTTTATTATGAAAAGGGTGCCATCTGTGGTTTGGTAAGGAAGAATAAAAATAAAATATAAGAACTTCAGAAGAAAAATAATTCTCATAAACTGAGAGTAGGAAACAATTTATTTAAGAAATAACCAAAATTAGAGTAATTGATTTTGACCAGTTGAGTACTGAACTAAACTTTATTAGTGTGAACGTGGCACTTCCGATTATAAATATGTAGATTGCATTTGCTCCAATTTGGTCTTTGAATGGTGACATTAATATATTATCATGAATATTCTACTGGATATTATAAGGATAATTCTTTTCTAGACAACTAAAATTCACTCATTTTGTGATTATAATTTGAAAAGGAGGACAGATCTGAATTAAATCTAGTTCAGCTGTTTGAATTGGAAAGGCATATGGGAACTTTCCTTCCTCCAAAAGGAATAGTAGGTAATAGAGGAAAAGGCGATCTCCATGCCTTGTGAAGAAGTTTTGGGAGCTCAGAATGACTGTGTCTTTGCCATATGACCAGGACTAAGACTGAATTGGCACTAATGTATACAAATGTGTGGGCTGTCTTTTTACAACACTAAATTTCTAATTACCCATCTTGAAAATACACTGTTTTAAACCAATAAAGTATGGGAATGTTGGAAAATGGGAAAAGTAGGATCCTGGTTTGACAGAAGGAAGGAGAGAAGGTTTGGTAAGACATATGCCTATTGCCTGTAAGTCTCACCACAACTAGAGGATGAAAAAGGGTAAAGTTAAGAGGGGAGCCAGGAGCTGAAGAACTGGTGTTGAAAAAAGATGAATGTGCTTATCTAGAATTATCCACAAAGTCTTGCTTTTGGTTTCCAAATATGGCCACAATTACTGGCATACTTATATAAAGACAGAAATGAGCAGAGCCTTGCAGTGTTCTTTAAGGTAGTGGATTATTCTCCTATCCTGCAGAGTGAGCCACCATAATGCATCACTGTTCTTTCCTAAATGATTGTTAAAGTACAGATCCTAGGGGGAACATTGTCTCGAATATACACAGGATAAGCTTGAGAATGGGAGATCATTTCTAAATAAGATTAGAGCTTGGGCTTGGACCCCTTTACTGCTCTCAGCTTTCTATCACACGGGCCATCCATCCCCGGATGCTGAGAGGCCTCTTCATTTGTTTGTATTGGTTTTCCCCAGGAAGCAAATGAAACAGTGGGGTTCTGGGTGAGAATGTTTCGAACTGGTTGTATTCTGAATTTCAAAGTGTCCTAAATGTTTGCCTATCCATTCTTCTTGTGATTTTTTCCTAAGGTAAAAGAAAATCGCTTAAAACGTGAGAAACAACTGGAGTTGCAGAGAATGGAAAATGCCCTGAAGAAAGCAGCCTTCTTGGAGGCTCAGTATCTAGTGCAAGAAGAGAAGAGAAGGAAGGCTCTGCTGGCCAAGAAAGAGAAGGAGGGGATTCAGAGAGAGATGGTAAAGCTGCGGAGGGAGATCCTGGAGAGAAGGCACACCGTGGAAGAAGCATGGAAAATGTAAGCCAGTGTGATGAGCACTGTGGAGGATGTCTAGTTAATCAAACGTCAGAAGTATTCTCAAATAATAGAAATGTTATAACACTGCAAACACTAAACACGAAAGAAAAAAACACCTACTGTTCCTCCATCTTAACAAATCACTTTTAATTTTCCATGTTTTCTCCTGGTCATGATCCCCTTACATACTTAATTACAGCCATCAAGTACATTTAATTTATTATTTTGCCGTACCAAATATGCCTGGAGTCCTGAATGTATGTATTATCCCACTGCTTTGCTGTACCATAGCATATGATGGCCTTGTCCTATATTGCTAAGCACTTTGCTATTTAAAATGGCTTGCCATTTGGGCTAGAGAGATGGCTCAGTGGTTAAGAGCAGTTTATGTTTTTCTGGAGGACCTGAGTTCACCTTCCCAAAACTACCTTCGGTGGCTCACAACCACCTGTAACATCAGCACCAGGGACTTTGATGCTCTCTTCTGGCCTCCACAAGCACTGCACACATAAACCCACACAGATTCACACACATACACATAATTAAAAATAAATTGTTTTAAAAAATACCAATATAATAATGCACTAAGCATATTTATTCCTAGAGCATTGTCATTCCTTTGAATTACATATATAATATATATAATATACATGTACATATACATATATGTCTTGTGTTTTCGAGACATGGTTTCTCTGTGTAGCTTTGGCTATCCTGGAACTCACTTTGTAGACCAGCTGACCTCAAGCTCATAGAGATTCACCTGCCTCTGCCTCCCAAGGGCTGGGATTAAAGGTGTGCACTACCACTGTCTGGCTTGAATTATATTTTTAGGATAAGTCCTTATGAGTGTAATTAGTGGGTTAAATGTGTTGATCTTTTTGTGACTCTTGAAACATTTCAAAATACTTTGAAAATTGGTTGCACTTGTTTACAGTGTCAGCAGCTATGGACCAGTTTGCCACACTCTTCTCTGTACTGGGAACTATCATTTCCAGGTTTTTTTTTTTTTTTCATGTTTAATAGGCATTGCAGTAACTGGTTTGTATTTCTTTGGTTGCATAAGATTTTTAAAGGTGGAATATATTTCCTTACCCCTTTTGTGTGGTTAGTAATTGCCCCCTGTACTACTGTGAATTGCACTAGGGTCTTATTTTCTGATGATCATGCAACAAGTCATTGCTTTACTGATAAAGGGAAAGAATATCTGACATAAGAGGAAAATGACAATAGCCCTCACAGGATGTAGTATGCTATCCATCCTCACACAGAAAATGAGCTTCACAAGTGAAATAACTAATGTATTTATTCTGAGAAATAACACTGATGCATGGACTGCAAAAATCTTCCAGCAACGTGACTCAAGTATCTGAACACTCAGACAGAGAGCCAGAAAGACCTATTAGGTAATCCATCCACCCCCATCAGCCTACACAGTTTCCCCCCTGTGTTCTTGATTGCTCTCATTCTGCCCAGTTTCAAACAGCTCAGCAGTGGACTCATGCTCCACTCACTCAAGTGCCAGGCTCAGGCCTCCTCTAAATGCTGCTCTTCGAAGAAAGCAATCACAGTATGTTAGGGAGTTCTCACTAAGGTCAACCCTGCTCTTCAGATTGCTCCTGAGCCTGGAAAAAATAGGCTGACCTAAAATAAATTCTGAAAACAAGTCACATTTGATGGTAGCAGGATGCTCTGTTCAGTTCACAGTGGGCACTCAATACATGTTCACTGGCTAGTCATTTCCCATCTAAGTTAAGTCTTACCCGTGGTTATAGTGACACAGATAATACGGTCTGCTTTTAGGTGGATGAACTGATTTGAACTTTACAGACAGCAATTTGGCAATAAATAACAAGAGTCATCAAGTGGTATTTTCCTTTGACCTGGGAATTCTAGTTCTAGGAAAATTGCCCTAAGAACTGATCAGAAATACAAAGATTTTTATGCAGTCATAACTAAAATAGCATTATTTATAGTAATAAACAATAATGATACAAAATTATTAGATAATGATTGTACAATGAAGCAGGATTGACATGTTATTTCTGTGAGGAAATATGAATAGCTTTTCTACCTCTCCAATTTTCACAATTAAGCATATATTATTTTCATGATAGATATATATCCTGGTGCTATTTTAAAACCCAGACCCCTGTTCTGGAACTCTATCATGTGCTATTTATTGGCTTGTGGTACTTGCAGTCTCACCAAAGGCCTTGCATTTGCAATCTGTCATTCTGCCCCAAGTCCTAGAACTGTATTTAGCCCTCCATGACATGACTAGGCCCATCCAATATAACATTATTGCAAAACCAGTATTTTGGCACAATCCAGTAAGATTTTCTTGTTGATGGGTTTTGTTCTTTTTTCTTATTTGTAAATTATCCTGAATTTGCTTTACTGAATAAAGTATTTTCTTAAAGAGATTTATTAATTATAAAAGGGGGGAAAAAAGTAGCTTTGGCAATCGAGAGATGGCTCAGCAGTCAAGTGTACTTGGTCTCACAGAAGACTGGAGTTCAGTCCCCAGTATCCACTGTATAACCACTATAACTCCAGCTCCAGAGGAGCTGATGCCTTCATTGGACCTTTGAGGGCACCTGCACGCATGTACCATACACTCACACGGATACATAAATAAAAATAATTTTGAAAATAAAATAGACTTACAGTAGATAATCAGCCTTAGATAATCAGTAAAAACAGGCTAGTATCAGCAATAAAAAGACATAATATTATGTGTCCCCTATATGATATGTTAAAATGAATGACACAGTGTCCGTATTCTGGGCTCTTCTCAACTTGAATTTCTACAACTATAAAGTTCCTGAAAGTCTAGGCGATTGCCTGAGTTTTCATAGCTGATCTGGGATCCTCAGTATTTGCATCATTCATGGTACATGCTTTGTGAGTATACATCTGTAATTAGCTCTGATAAAAAGACAATATTGGGAGCTGGGGGTAGCTCAGTTGGTAGAATGCTGGCCTAACATGCACAAAACCCTGGGTTTGATCCCCAGCTCCACATAAAAGTAGTGGCACATGCCTGTCATTCCCCACTTGGGAAATGGAGGCAGGAGGATTGGGAGTTCAAGGACAGCCTGGGCTACATGAGACAGTCTCAAAAGAAGGGCGGGCATATCTCCAAGCACACTTGAGTTGGTAAGTGAAGGAGGATGGCCTGCAGGAGGAAAGGGAATGGAGGCTTGGAAGATTCTCTAGATTCTGTTCTATCCTTAGCAATTTTTTTGTTTGTTTTTTGAGACAGGGTTTCTCTGTATTGTTTTGGAGCCTGTCCTGGAACTCACTCTGTAGACGAGGCTGACCTTGAACTCACAGAGATCCACCTGCCTCTGCCTCCCGAGTGTTGGGATTAAAAGCGTGCTCCACCAAGACCCAGCAGTCCTTAGTAATTTTTGATTCTATTAATTTTTCTTCCTAGAAAGCCTGTTAAAGCTCAAGATAGGAATCTCGTTCCTTTTTTACTTAAGGATCCATTTAGCCCTCTAATAAAAAGAGATAGAGGAGCTGGGTGGGGGTGGTGTACACTTTAATCCCAGCACTTGGGAGGCAGAGGCAGGTTAATCTATATGAGTTTGAGGCCAGCCTGGTCTACAGTCTGAGTTCCAGGACAGCCTCCAAAGCTACAGATAAACCCTGTCCCAAACAAAAGGAGATAGAGGCCGGGGAGATGGCTCCAGGGAAAAGGTGCATTTCACAAGCCTTGACAACCCGAGTTCAATCCCCAGAACCAACTAAAAAGCATAATGCTGTTAGAAGTTGTTCTGGATCCCATAGAAAGAGACCACCATTCCAACTGAAGTGTCTGGACAAGACAAACTTTAATCTTGGTCAAGAAAGAGGGTCTGCTTGGAAGAGTGGACACACCAAACAGGAAGTACATTTGTGTTTTATTCTAACACTGGTGGCAGTGTCTTTTCCCCATTGACTGGGCTCCAGCCTCACAATCTTACTGAATTGGGTAGTTCTGAAGAGAGGAAAGGAAGAGGAATTGCTGCCCAGAGGAGAAAGGGTCACCGTTTTAGGCCATCAACTCCTAGAACAGAGTAGCGGAACCTAGTGTAAACAAAGGCTTTACTGGTTGGGGAGTATTAAAATATCTGCACAAAAGTCTTACAAGGTGAGGGGAGATAAAAAGATTTTAATTCCTTGTCCTATAGTATTTTATAGAAAATAAATACTTGATATTTATTTTCATACTTGATATTTCTAATCCCAGCACTCCTACAGCAAGATGGGTAACAGAGATAGGACAGATACCGAGAATAAGAAATGCAGTGGCAGAAACGAGAGACCCTGCCTCAAAACCAAGAGGAAGAGAACCAACCCGCACAAAGTTGGTCTCTGTCTCTGTCTTTGCCTCTCTCTCTCTCTCTCTCTCTCTCTCTCACGCACACACACACTAAATTTTTTAGAAGGAAAAAGAAAACACATCTACATTACAGAGTACTTTGTAGATATTGACAAACTTTGATCAATGTATAGGTCAGTAGTAAAGTCAATAGAAATGCTTCACTAAAGCATCTTCTGGGCTGTTTGTCAAAGTACTTAACAATTTTGTTTATATATTACAAAATAGCAAACTAAGATTTTTTTCTGTCATCTTGCTCTGGAATAGTCAGTGTTTGTTCATTCCAATACAGTAGGCTATAATTACTCATTATTAACTGTAGTAACTATTTTAAAAAATTGTTACTAATAGAGAAAAAAAAAGACAAGAAGATTCTCAGAGGAATCCAGAAGAAAAAATGGTGGAAAGTAGTCACGTTCATCTCAATGAGGAAAAAGTTGCAAAAGAAAGAAAAAGAAAACTGAGAGAGCTACTAATCCGGACTTTCAAGGAAAATCACCAGGTGAGAATTACAGTGTCTCTCCATTCATCATCCTGTAGCATAAATGACAAGAAGCTCCAGCAGAGATGGAATAAAGTGTTCTGGGTGTGGTGGGTCATGCCTGTCCTCTCATCTCTTCTGAGGCAGAAGGATCACTACATGTTCAAAGCCAGCTTGGGCTACATAGTGAATTCAAGTGTAGTTGGAACTCCATGGTGAGGGCCGTATCTCAAAAAAATAAGACATAGTGTAGATGGAAGTTTCTGTCCTGCTCAGTCCCACAGCTGTTTAGTCCCAAATAAACACACAGAGGTTTATATTAATTATAAACTAATTGGCCCCTGGCTCAGGCTTCTTATTGGCCAGCTCTCTCTTAATTATTAACCCATATCTATTAATCTATGTACCTCCACATAGTCTTGGCTTACTGGAGAATGCCTAAGTCTCTTACTTCCTGGGCAACTACATGGCGTTTGTCTGGCAACTCTGCTTTCCTCTTCCCCGAATTCTCCTTGTCTGGTAGCCCTACCTATACTTCCTTCCTGGTTACATCTTGCCTGTCCATTGGCTGAAACAGCTTTATTCTTCAACTAATAAGAGAAACATGTATTCATAGCATACAAATGGATATCCCCCATCAACACAGAGAGAAAGAGGGAGGAAGAGAGAATGCTTAAGTGTATAAGAGGAGGAGGAAAAAATGCTAAGTCCATGAGAGCAAGAATGCTAAGTCCACAAGAGAGGGAGGGAGGGAGAGAGAGACAGAGACAGAGACTAAGTCCATGAAAGTTCATCTTAAATACCTAAACCAGCCTCACCACCCTTCTGCCTGCTGACCTGGCAGTAATGGGTAGGTGTATCAGGTCCCTTTTCCAAGATGTTCTTCCAATCTGCAGAGGTGTTAGGTAAAATCTCAGAGAAGTGAGAGCTATGCTTAAGATTCCTTCTCAATAACATCTGTGGAATAGCTTTTTCTTTCTTGATTTTGAGACAGACTTTCTCTGGGTAGCAGCCCTGGCTGTCCTGGAACTCCCTCTGTAGTCCAGGCTGGCCTCAAACTCCCAGAGCTCTGACTGCCTCTGCCTCCCCAGTGCTGGGATAGCTTTTAACTACTGCCCTTTGTCTTTGAGCACTGGGATTCTACTTTGACGGTCTTAAGGACATTTATATCTGGGTTATGCCGATGGCACAAGAGCAAGTCAGTCACTTCCTGTTTTGTATCTGAAATCCAAACATGAAAATAACTTGTGTCCCTTCTCTCACTGACTGATCCTCTTTTAATTTTTCCTTTCTTTTCCTTTCTTTAGAATAATTTTTATTGGAACAATAACTAATGATTTTTCAAAGCTTTTAATTTTTTCTTTTTATTCCCAAAGCATAGTAGATGGTTGAATAATCTTTTCTAGAAAGTTTACTTAGTGCCACTTAATGAAGCCTGTGTCCTTTGCACCCATTACTAACTTTATATTGACGAACATATATGTTCTATATCAGTTACTTTAGAATTGTGTGATCCAAGTGCCTGACAGGAAAATGTGCAGAAGGAAGGCTTTGATTGAATGATGGCTTCAGAGAGCTCAGTTCATGATCCCAGGCATTACAGTAGAATGCCATAGCAACAGGAACATTTGGTAGAGGACAGCTATTTCCATCACAGAAGACAGGAAACAGAGAGCCAACTGGAAAGGGGATAGAGATGTACCTTCAACATCTTGCCCCTACTGACTTATTTCCTCATCTAGGCCCCCCACTCGCAAAATTTCCAGAACCTCCCAAAATAGCACCACCAACTATGGACTAAGCATTCAAGCCATGGGCCTCTGGGGACATCAGATTCAAAACGTAACAACTTCTCCGGTTATCTAAACAGCTTTTTCAATGAAGAACAATTGATTAAAGTATGAATTAGGGATTATAACATTTCATATAAAATGAATTACTTGGCAGATTTGTAAATGAGATGGTTGGATGAGAAAAGATAAATATGTATATTTTCTAGCCCCCATAACACCTACACTAGGGCCTTAGGCATTGCTAAAATTCATGAAAGTTAATAGGATGAATACATAAATGAGTGGATTTAACAAGGGAAAAGAGTGTAGGAAGATGCTGAGGGAGCTTGATAAATATGGGATTAGACTTATAAAGGCCCTGAAAATCAATAACAGGAACTTGTGATATGGATAACTAAGATAAAAGGAAAAAAGTAGTCAACATGAGTTATTAAAAGATGGACATATTTTATGGTGACATCCTTGATGGATGGGAAGTTGTCATTATTCCAATATTAAAAATTTAATCAAGAGTTTTAGTTTCAGAACTAGAAGGAAATGTTAAGAGTTAGGACTAGTATTTGAGAAAGACTTACAAGGACTCTTAGATTCTGTATCCTTCAAGAGATAGGTGTAATTAGTGTATGCTTCTAGAACAACAGTAAAGATTGCTAAGAAAAAAATAGGAAATGGGCTAAGCATGGTGCCTCATGCCTATCCCAGCACTTGGGAAGCAAGGGCAGATTGATCCCTGAATGTTAGGGAAGCCTGGTGTACTTATTGAGTTCTAGGGCATCCAGGGCTACACACACACACACACACACACACACACACACACACACACACACACACACACACACACGAGGTCTGGAGAGGACAGCCAAGGCTACAACACATATACATATACATGAAAAGAGATCTGGAGAGATGGCTCAGTGTTTAAGAGCATGGACTGCTCTACCAGAGGACCCAGCTTCAATTCTCAGCACCCACATGGTACACAGCTGTCTGTAACTCCAGTTCCAGGGGCTCCCACACTCTATTCTGGCCTCCACAGGCACAGGCTTATAAGTGTTGTACAGACATATACTCATACACATAAAAATAATACAAGAAAATAGGAAAAGAGCTGATATTCAGGGGCATCTTGAGGCAGCACAAGGAAAGCATACTGTTCTTTAGAAACCTAATTTTAAAAAAAAAAATTCTTGTTTTTTCGAGACTAGGTTTCTCTGTGTAATCTTGGCTCTCCTGAAACTCACTCTGTAGACCACGATGGCCTTGAACTCAGAGATCTGTCTGCTCTGCCTCCCGAGAGCTGGCATTAAAGGCATGTGTTACCACTGCCCAGCTCCTAATTTAAAATTTACAGTGGATTCTATTCTACAGTTTAAAAAAAAAAAATCCTGCCCAGGTGGTGGTGGCACAGTACTTTAATCCCAGCACTTTCGAGGCAGAGGCAGGTGGATCTCTGTGAGTTCAGGACAGCCTGGTCTACAAAGAGTTCTGGAATAGCCAGAGCTGTTACACAGAGAAAACCTGTCCAATGTGTTGTAGGGATAATAAATGTTTTTAAATGGAACAATAACAAAACTAACAGCCCACCTAAACCTGATTGCTTTGTTTAAAAAGGACATGTCAGTATATTTTGAAGGTAAAAGTGACAACATTCTAATGAATGGTCCTTGTTTTGCCACAGATTTTTGTTTTTTCTTTTTAGCTCATACATTATTGCTTAAGGTTCTATTTTTGAAGGTTGCTTTTGGTATACAGAAAAGTAACAAAAATTACCCATACAGTTTGAATCCTTGTCACCAGACCTTTCCAGTGTTGAGCAAGTCTAGTGATCAGTGTAGGAAATTGTTACCATTGAGAGAGACCCTGTTAGAACATCACCCACTTGGTGTATGTCGTTATTAACTTTATTCAGTGTGAGCTCCCCGACATTTATTTTCCTCTGAGTTTTGCTATTGTTTATTTTGGAGCTTAAAGTATCCCATCTTTGGCCTTTGAAGTAGCAGAGGTTTCCATCTCTGTCCTTTCAGCACACTTCCATTCTTTTTCAAGCATTTTTTAATGGTGCCACAAGATGCTCCAGGTTTATCTTATATTTTTTCTGCCATAGTGCTGAAATCAACACTTGCACATAGAATCCTGGTTCCTTTTATGGGAGAATGATCTTTAGAAACCAACCCTGCTGTTGTGCTGTTTCCAGGGACGAGGGTTGTTTCTGTCCCTTCTTGGCACATAGAAATAGGAAATGTATCCCTGTCTACTAACCCATGCATGCTCATACTGTTTTTTTCTGTCTATCTGCATACTTATTAAATACATAATCCAATACCTCTAATTCAAGTACAACAGTGTAGGGATGGATGGGAGTTATGTTATTCCTCCCCCTTCCCCATATTTGTAATTTATAATCTGGACTGTCTAAATTTGTATTAATCATTGTGAATTCATAATGATGTTTTTAATGTAACCCAGGTGCCCCTCCCTACATTGTAACAGTTTAACCTGACAGTAAGAAAGGTGGCTCATTATATACATCCTATTGACTTGTCGTTCAGACCTACTTTGCTATAATGTAGTTTGAGAATTGCTAAGCCAAGAGCCGAGTGTGTTGGGGCACACATGTTCAACCAGGAAAGTGAGGTAGGAGAATCAGGAAGTCAAGATCATTTCCTGTTATGTAGTATGTTAGAGGTCAGCCTGGATTATGTAAATTCTGTCTCCCAAACAACTATGGGAGCAAGTCTTACTACAATACAATATTTGTGTATTTTTTACTTTTTTAGCCTTACAGTTTTCAGTCAAAATATTATTTTCTAACACTGTTTAAGTTCTTCTCTTCCCCTTCTATGTGGCTGCATTATTTATTAGGATATAGGTCTTAAACCTCTAATGTGGTATTTCTGCAGTGTATTCTGAAACACAGTAAAAATCTACCTACCTGACTCCCCATACTTTTACACAGACATAGCTGGAAATAGGATATTCTTTTGTTAAATTCCAGTACAGGTCTGGTTCTCAAGGAACCCAAAGCTACCTTCACAAGGTGAACAAGGAAAATGTCCTCTGACTCATAACAGGGTGAGATAACAGCCTGTGTGCTCAGAATGTTTCACAGCACAAACCTGATAGAAATACACAGATAAAATATCACCCGGGGACAGGGGGGTGCTGGAGAGATGGCTTAGTGATTAAGAACACTGGCTGTTCTTCCAGAGGACCTGGGTTCAATTTCCA